TTCAGAACAATAGACCTATACATGCTGCACTGTGGGGGTTATCTGCCAATGCACAGGAAAATGTGTTTATAAGCACTGCACCATTCCGTGCGCCAAAGCTCACAACACAGTCACACATACTAAACAAACAAATGTTTAGCTTTCTGATCACGCAGAATTTTTCAGATTATTATGTATGTTTTATATCTTGTAGCAGAGTACAGTGACGCCTGTGAACATAATGCTTAGAGAGATCTAAGGTTCGTTACACATCTAGAATAGTATTAGATACAGATACTGAGTAGTGCTTTTGCCGTTTAGTAAATATGTTAAAGGGCATTAGATTACAGATTGATGGTATTACTTTTAGTATAAGCGATGTTGGCAGCAGTGGACCTACTAGTGCAGATTTATTGATTTCCACAATAAACTCTGCAGGGTCTATTCATGAAATGCTGAATTTGATGAAGAAAATTATGTCACTTTCGTTTGGCTCAATTCTGCTGATGAAATTATTCTGAAGTTCAGTTTGTTTGCAATCAACTAAAGAAAGCCACGTTGAGTTGAATGAGTCCCTGTTCTTTTCATCAGATCTTAATGGTGTAGTGAGATTTGTTCGAAGAAAAAAAATGCCCCAGTCAAAACGGAAACCAAACAGTAACCAAAAAGTAAAAAGAAAATAAGCCACCAAGGCTTAGGGCTTGTTACAGGTCAAAGAGGGTTTGGTGTAGAGTTAAGGTGACTTAGGATTGGAGGGGAATTGGGTTATGTGCTTCCTCAGAGGAATGGGGTCAAACATTTAGCATGTTTGTTTTTGTGAAAACTATATATTTTATAAATTATAAATAAACTTTGTTTTGATTTTTAAAATATTTTTTTAAATCAAAATAATAAATAATATTTCATAGGCAATGACGATTAAATCCTGCTCCTTTCATAGGCATCAGCTGGAGGACGCCTTAATACTAAAGTCAATTATCTGAAATACCTGTATATAATGATATATTCAGTCCGGTCTAACCATATAAAGTTTAACCAGCTGCTTAGTCTCCCAAATAAGTCTTATGCGTCCAAATTAAGGCAGAATTGAACATAAGTTTAAATAAACACATATATAGGTTAACAGTTTATGCAAAGCGACATCTGCCTCTCGTGTTACAAATAGGGTTATTTGTATAGCTTGTTGGGCTATTTTTGCGTAGAATTTGAAATTCACTTGCAATTTGTGATAATTCACACTTAAGTCTTTGAGATTTATTTCCCATGGTCCATATATAATAGTCCTTGATGTAAGCTAGATTCACATCCTACATGAATATTAACATCAGGTATTATACCTCTGTGTGGTGCTGTTATCCTGTGATGGAACATGAATGGCTTCTCTCTGATTCGAGTAATCTCTTATTAACTTTCTTCACTAAGTGTACACTTATTTTCACAGACATGTATAAATAAAGAAGCCTTTTGTCAAAGATAAACATAACCCTTGGGTCTCGTTTTTATTTCTGCGGTTGACTGTGTGTATATAGAGGTCTATATTGACTAGAGACACAAAAAATAAGAACTGCTTCTAACTGTGACAAGGAGCTCTCAAACAAACAGATATGTGATAGAAAGATTTCTGTTAATTCTCTATAAATATTGGAGCTACAAAGTGGTAAAATGGGTTTTACTTGTGTTACCTTACTTGACTGCATGTTTTTTTTTGTCACAATTGTTGCTTTGTTTTTTCACAGTGTTCTGGGTTTATATTTAGCTACACCGAAATGGGATTATTCATTTGTCCAGACTAGATGGGCCAAACGGTTCTTATCTGCCGTCACATTCTACGTTTCTATGTCGAGCAATGTTTCATTCAGACAATTCCATTAATTAACTTTTGCCTCCATTACAATTTCAGCACATGTGGGTAAAGTTATACCCGTGATTTATGTGTGAAACTGCCAATAGACCTATAAATAAAAGTAGCATTGTTCAGCAAACTAAAACCTAGGCACTGATATCACCAGTAAACAATGACTTGTACCTTTTATTCCCTGCCAACCCTTGTGGGTAAAGTGGGATTGTGGGTAGCTATCCTGTGAGCAGGGTTAATGGACACAATTACACTGGGCCTCTCTGTCTGGCATAAAGCACCACATTAAAGACCATCAATTAGCTGGAGAGTCTGGCTCTAAAAGAAGCTAGACGGGCAAAGTCTGTGCTGAGCTCCTCTCCATTGCAACTGTGCCACAGATAGGAAGCAGCTTTAACATTGTGTGCGGCAACAATAAGAAGAAGATATGAAATCCACAGCTTGGCATACAGACAAAGAAGCACTTGGATCCTCCCTGTACAGAAGCTCTGTGTAGTTCCCTCCCTGCTGCTGCTGGTGCTGATGAAGCTCTTTGTAGAAATGATTGCAGCGTGCATGGATCACTGGTTACAATATAACCAGCACAGCTAGAACACCTGGACATGCAGCCACTTCGTACATATTACTGCCAATTCTTTATAACTGTGACAGAACAACCAAGCGACATCACATTGTGACTTGAGGACACTAGAAACAGAATGATCTGCAAATAATATCAGGCAAAAGAAAAGCAACAATCTATAAATATAAAAACTAAATCTATCAGGTAATAGACACACTCTAAAAAAAAAACCACAACAACCAATAGTGAGTGCACAGTGGACATTCCAAAGTACGGACACTAAATGTCCTGATTTTACAATATTTGTACATTTAACCAATTCAGATTTGAGCCTGGTCTGTTAAGAAACTGTAGAAAATCAACTTTACCTCAATGACAGAATTGAAAATACCTGCACCAAAACATATCAAGTGAAATGAGTTCATGCGAAAATACAATCCATGAAATAATACAGTGTGAAAATAAAATGATAATTCAGTCACTAAAATACCCCAAAATCCAGATGGGGTATATTTACATGTGAAAATACAAATACAGCCACGACTGCACTTCATTTCAAATTGGAACACATTATAGCTTCTCTTGAATGTCAATGTGTAATTATTCCCCAAAGGCACATTAACAGTTTAACACGTGGAACATTACTTACAGCTTTCACATGTAGTCTATTACAGTAAGAGAAGGGGAGAGGGAGACCCCATTATAATAATTTCCTTCCTTTACTTGCACCTCTTGTGCTAATATCGGTCTCCCTCAATCCTTTACCCATTCTGTACTAAAACAGAGTAGAATAGCCATACTACCTACACATATGGGTGCAATACATTTTCATACACTTAATAATGTATAAAGGGATAGAAAAGGGCCAGAGGCTTAGTGACTCTGCAATTACTTAATCGGTAAATAACTTCTCTCTTTCATTTACTCTTTCCCCACCAAATGGAAGGATAGAAGGGGGTATCATGCCAGTTCACACTTAATGCTAGATCGTTCAGTCCAAAAAAAAAAAAAAAAAAAAAAAAAAGTATTTCTTGAACTAGGCTATTACTAAATAAATTGAAAATTAAAGAAAAAGCACACTGCTAGGAACTTGACATGAGAACGTGTTTTGGTTAATTCTGCACTTTGTGAAGGAACGAAAAACAAGCCAAATCACTTAGCATTTTTTCCCAGTTGAAAAAAATTAAAAACTTAATTTGATTAATAGCTTCCTTTTATAAACACACTGCAAAAACTATTATGTTTCCGAATATGCTTTCTTCCCCAATCCTGTTTTAATTACTTTGCAGTGTATATAGCATGTACGTAAAAGCTGTTCCATTCACATCTCACCATTTCTGTAAAGTACTATTTGCACAAAGTCCCCAGACGACCACCTGTCATTTCATCTGCAAACTTTAGTTAAACTATGGCTTACATCTGATCTCATTGCTTGCTTAGTTTGGGTGTATATTAATACATATCTCACTGTTTAAGGAATAAAGTCGATATTATCTTGTTCTGTGGTATGGTTATTAAAAGAACACAAACACGTATCCCTGACCCTATTGTGTTAAAAGCACTATCGAGTCCCCCTGGCATATAGTAAAATCTTACCTTTGTTCCAGTCCGCTGGTGCTAGCTCTGCCCTGATTTGCTTCCTTGGCTGACAAGACAATGTTTACTGCAAAAAGCCTGCAGGGACTGACTATACTTACCAGAACAACTACATTATGCTGTAGTTGTTCTGGTGACTTTAGAGTCCCTTTAAACTTTGCTGTTGAGCCTTTATTACCGGGGGCTAGTACTGTACCTTTTTCGCTGACCGTATCTCTTTACAGGCTGGTTTCTGTTTCTCTTACCCCAGCTAAGCAAGGAAATCTTCAGGCTGTGAGCCAGTAACACTAATGACAGTAAGCACGTATTTTCCTAAAAGCTCAAGGTGTTTGAAACCGTAGCATACTGTAGCTTAACATTTGTGCTCTGTAGAAGGGAGCGCACTCAAACACCTTCTCAAAATTCTTCTTTCAAATAAATGGTTTCCTTATTAGCAATATACTCTGAAATGTAAGATGGTCTAATTCCATTTAAACTGCATACTTGTTTTCAACACCAGGATCAAAGCAGCAACTTTCCAGTGCATCCAGACACTTCATCATTTGTATGTTCATCTGCTGTCCAGATACATCACTGTAAAAAGGAAGAAGATCAAATTAATACATTATATGTATTACATATAAATGGGGTAACCGAACCGGACTACATAATCATTACTAATCCACAGTTCTAAGTCTAAGACATTGTAGTCATGTTTTACACGTGTGTTACTGGAGCAATCCAAGCACCATAAACACTACAGCATGCTCTACAGGTTATGGTGCCAGGATTGCCCCCCAAAGTAAGTAGTTAAACTATTTAAATGTGTATATATATATATATATATATATATATATATATATATATATATAGTGGTGCAAAATACACAGAAAAAACTTGTGGGTACTGATTGCAGCAACCAACAAAACAATCCTGGTAATGGAATTCAGATAATACAGTTAGTGGTAAATTGGTGCGCAGTGTATTAAATCACTATTAGGCAGAATATAAAATCTTATATGTCCAATTATAAAACTTCATTAAAGTGCCCACAGTGCTCACAATATGACATTACCACCTAGGCACATATTCAATGAATAGTGAGCACTGTGGGCACTTTAATGAAGTTTTATAATTTGACATATAATATTCTATAATCTGCCTAGTTGTGATTTAATACACTGCGCACCAACTTACCACTATTTGTATTAGTTCAACTATTTGCCAACCGTCTGACTTCTTATCGGAGTCTGCTTGGCCCACTCCTGCCTCTCTGCAGCTGGAACCGATCTTCACTAAGTTAAGCCTGTAGGCTCACACTCTCAGCCAATGAACTGGTCCTGCACTGCAGGGCTTGGCTCAGGAAAGCTAACAGAAGCTCCTACCAGGATCCTCCAGCTCTCAATACCAGAGGCAGAAAGGTAAAGAGTAGCAACCAGTTAACCCCGGGTAAGAAGTCAAACTGTTAGCAAATGATATGACTACTTACACAGGAGAGCAATGCTGGCACCATACCTACAGGGAGATTATCATGTAAGCATTCTTAACTCTATAGTATCCTTTTAACTATTTAAAACTACTGGAGTTTGATTCGGTTCTCAATGTGGAAGCACCTCTACTGTTGGTCAGGAAGAGAGGCACTAGAGCTGTGTTCACCATGCAATCATAACACAGCAGTACCTACTAAACAGCAATGTTTTAGATTGCAGGGTTAAACCTAAAGGGCCTTTGCACCCACAAAATGTCATTGACATGAAGAGGTCTGAGTACCTTTAGTGGTTATTTAAAAGGTATACTCCTATGACAACCAATGCTTCCTTTATGAGCTATTTTTAAAGCAAGTCCCTATCCTCATTCAATGACTTATAACTACATTCATTTGCAAAACTCATTACAGCTATAAGGATACCCCTTCACTCAGCTGCTGTAAACTTTTTTTAATGAATGGAACTGCTGAACTAGATATTCTCACATACTCCTGGGATTGGCATTTTGCTTTGTCCTAATTAAAGTCCTGTTGTGAAGACTGAAACTTTTGTATGTATTTTTGACTCCTGGAGCCTCTTTAAAATGCAATAGTTTTCGTTAAGTATGTTAGTGTGATATAATAAAATACAGTATGTAGTTATAATAACCAGATTTAACCCCTTAAGGACCAAACTTCTGGAATAAAAGGGAATCATGACATGTCATGTGTCCGTAAGGGGTTAAACAGCAGCATGGAGGTGTTAATTACATAGAAACATAGAATGTGACGGCAGATAAGAACCATACAGCCCATCTAGTCTGCCCAATTTTCTAAATACTTTCATTAGTCCCTGGCCTTATCTTATAGTTAGGATAGCCTTATGCCTATCCCACGCATGCTTAAACTCCTTTACTGTGTTAACCTCTACCACTTCAGCTGGAAGGCTATTCCATGCATCCACTACCCTCTCAGTAAAGTAATACTTCCTGATATTATTTTTAAACCTTTGCCCCTCTAATTTAAGACTATGTCCTCTTGTTGTGGTAGTTTTTGTTCTTTTTTTTTTTTTGTACTGCAAAAATGTGATACAGGCAGGCTTGAGGTGCCCCGAGAGCAATCCTCTGGCATTTCCCTCGCTCAACATGCGGGGTAGTCGGTTAACAGGCACATTTTTTATAGTATAGACAGACGTAATTATTGTAACGTTAGAGCATCAACTTTAAAATTAGGTATATCATGCAAACAAGATCTGTCTGTGCGTAAACTGGACTAGTGGCAATAAAAGTATGTGTAATGCAGTTTCAAAAGCGCTAGTAACAGCAATTGGTTAGTGCAGATATACTTTTTGTTACAGGAAACCAATCGTTTATGTCCGAGCATGTATGAACAACATAACGTCAATCTTTTCAGGCATTTTACTGCATGCTACATAGTGTTGATCAGATATGGGTAGATAGGCTAAATAAGCGGTGAGTCTGGCATGTATTAACAGCAGCAGTAAGTGCCACTGTTACCCTCTGGCTGATAAACATTTACTGAGGCTCTGAGGCAGCCGCCCCATGTGTGCCCGGGAGACGGAGGATCTAAGTTGTGTGGCAGGTGTGCTCAAACTGTGCGGTCCCGCTACCTTCCACCTTTCAGGGATCAGCGACGGTGTTGGAGGGTTGCGGTTGTGGAAGCTGCTCAGCGTGTGTGAAGGGTCTTGTCGGCGGTCAATAGTAGAGGTTGGTAACAGTTCATCAGGCCCAGGCTCGGATCGGGTCATTCACCCCACGCCGACAATCGGGAACCGACAGGTAAAGTCCAGCAGGTCAGAGTGCCGCGTTGCAACCCTCTTGCCCCAGGCCTTGCGGAGGGCCCGCATTGAGTGACCACAGACTTGGGGGCTCGTGTCAGAGTCCAAGTCTTTCCCGGGTGGGATGCGACAGAGGCCCAGGATGAAGTTCCGCCGCTTGTGGTGGGGGGTTTTCTGCCGTGGTGGACGGTGCGGAGGGCGTTTCCCCTTGTGGCCCAGTCTGCTTGTGGTTAAGGCTTGGCGGGTACGCATGCCCGGAGGATGCACCTGCGTCACTGACTCCTCTCCCCCTCGTGGTCTCCTCCGGCCCTGTGCTTGTGTGGACTCGGCTCTCGCCTCCAGTTGTGCCCAGAAGCAGGTGAAGAGTTTGTCGAGCAGTTGTTACAGGTTAGTGTGTGGGGCCCGGTCTGTAAATGGCTCATTGAGTTTTGGTGTTAGTAGTCCATTCGTCATCTTGAGGGGACGAGTGGCTGTCCTAGCCCCCACCGGGCCTGCTGCTTGTGAGTGTCTAGGGTGAGTGAGGCAGCCAGGGGGTCCGCGATAACCCCCACTGGTCCAGAGGGGGGAGGGGAGAGAGTAGGAGAGTTGTCGTACGGGTCTGTTAGAGTAAGGAAGTCGGCCGCACTTCCCCAGCTCCAGCGTTAGTAGGCCTCAAACTGACGCTGCGGATTACGGTGGCCGGGGGATCCGAGAGAGGTCTCAAACGATTTAGTGGATTGCTCCCTAGGTAAGTATCAGCTGGGTGTGCCACTCCCGGTTCCGTAACCCGTGATATCATCAGGGTTTCAGTAGCTACAGCAGGAGCCCATGTGAAACACGTCTGCTTGGCTCAAGAGTTATGCTCTGCCCCCCTAGTTTTTCTTCTTTTAAATATAGTCTCCTCCTTTACTGTGTCGATACCCTTTATGTATTTAAATGTTTCTATCATATCCCCCCGTCTCACCTTCTAAGCTATACATGTTAAATTCCTTTAACCTTTCCTTGTTTTATTCTGCAATCCATGAACCAGTTTAGTCGCTCTTCTCTGAACTCTCTCTAAAGTATCAATATCCTTCTGGAGATACGGTCTCCAGTACTGTGTACAATACTCCAAGTGAGGTCTCACCAGTGTTCTGTACAATGGCATGAGCATTTCCTTCTTTCTACTGCTAATACCTCTCCCTATACAACCAAGCATTCTGCTAGCATTTCCTGCTGCTCTATTACATTGTCTGCCTACCTTTAAGTCACCAGAAATAATTACCCCTAAATCCCTTTACTCAGATGCTAAGTTTAGGATTATATCACATATTCTGAACTCTGCCCTTGGGTTTTTATGCCCAAGATGCATTATCTTGCACTTATCCACATTAAATGTCAGTTGCCACAACTCTGACCATTTTTCTAGTTTACCTAAATCATTTGCCATTTGGCTTATCCCTCCTGGAACCTCAACACTGTTACATATCTTAGCATCATCAGCAAAAAGACACACCTTACCATCAAGACCTTCTGTAACATCACTAACAAAAATATTAAAGAGAATGGGTCCAAGTATAGATCCTACTGGTGACAAGCCCATGCTTCGAATATATTCCATTGACTACAACCTTCTGGTGTGGCTGTAACTCAGCCACTGCCTTACCCATTCAATAATACTGGAATCCAAACTTAAAGATTGCAGTTTATTGATATGCCTTCTGTATGCAACAGTGTCAACAGCCTTACTGAAATCTAGGTAAGCAATGTCTACTGCACCACCCTGATCTATTATTTTAGTTACCCAATCAAAAAAAAAAAACAATAAGACTAGTTTTGCATTATCTCCCTGAAGTAAACCCATCTCTGATCTTGCAATCCATGTGATTTTAGATGTTCAACAATCCTAACCTTTAACATGGTTTCCATTACTTTCCCCATTACTGGCCTATTATTGCCCGACTCCTCCTTACTACCTTTCTTGCGAATGGGCAAAACATTTGCTAACTTCCAATCTTCTGGGACTACTCCTGTTAACAATGATTGGTTAAATAAATCTGTTTACTGTTAAATGGTTTTGCTAGTACACCAGCTCGTTTAATAACTTTGGGTGTATTCCATCAGGTCCCATTGACTTATTTGTCTTTACTTTTGACAGTTGAAATATAACCTCTTCCTCTGTAAACTCACATGTAACAAATGGCTCATTTGTCCTTTTTCCTAACTGAGGCCCCTTCCCTTCATTTTCATCTGTAAATAATGAACAAAAATATTCATTGAGGCAGTCAGTTGGACCTTTATCCTCTTCTACATACCTTCCTTCTTTTGTTTTTATTCAAACTAATCCTTGTTTTACTTTCCTTTTCTCATTTATGCATCTAAAAAATGTTTTGTCCCCCTTTTTTTTTTTTACTGACTGTGCTATTTTCTCTTCTGTGTGTGATTTAGAAGCTCTTATAACTTGCTTAGCCTCTTTCTGCCTAATCTTATAGATCATTCTGTCTTCCTCACTCTGGGATTTTTTATAATTACTAAATGCTAACTTTTTGGTTTTTACTATTTTGGCCACATCTGCGGAGTACTACGGGTGTTTTTTTGAATTTTTTGCATTTATTGACAAGCCTAATGCAATTTTCTGTGCCTTCAGCAGTGCAACTTTTAAATAATCCCATTTTTCTTGGACTCCATTTAAATTGCTCCAGTCTGATAATGACTCCTTTACACATATTCTAATTTTAGAAAAGTCTGTTCTTCTAAAGTCTAAAACTTTTGTTTTTGTGTGGTGTTACTCAGTCACTGTTCTTATATTAAACCACACTGACTGATCACTGGATCCTAGACTTTCACCTACAGTGATATCTGATTCCAAACACTAAGTCTAGTATGGCCTCTTTACGAGTTGGCTCCTCAAC